CCTCTGTCCTCCCCTCGTTACCTGTATTAATGGCACCTGTTTGAACTTGTTATCAGTATAAAAGACACCTGTCCACAACCTCAAACAGTCACACTCCAAACTCCACTATGGCCTAGACCAAAGAGCTGTCAAAGGACACCAGAAACAAAATTGTAGACCTGCACCAGGCTGGGAAGACTGAATCTGCAATAGGTAAGCAGCTTGGTTTGATGAAATCAACTGTGGGAGCAATTATTAGGAAATGGAAGACATACAAGACCACTGATAATCTCCCTCGATCTGGGGCTCCATGCAAGATCTCACCCCGTGGGGTCAAAATGATCACAAGAACGGTGAGCAAAAATCCCAGAACCACACGGGGGGACCTAGTGAATGACCTGCAGAGAGCTGGGACCAAAGTAACAAAGCCTACCATCAGTAACACACTACGCCGCCAGGGACTCAAATCCTGCTGTGTCCCCCTGCTTAAGCCAGTACATGTCCAGACCCGTCTGAAGTTTGCTAGAGTGCATTTGGATGATCCAGAAGAGGATTGGGAGAATGTCATATGGTCAGATGAAACCAAAATATAACTTTTTGGTAAAAACTCAACTCGTCGTGTTTGGAGGACAAAGAATGCTGAGTTGCATCCCAAGAACACCATACCTACTGTGAAGCATGGGGGTGGAAACATCATGCTTTGGGGCTGTTTTTCTGCAAAGGGACCAGGACGACTGATCCGTGTAAAGGAAAGAATGAATGGGGCCATGTATCGTGAGATTTTGAGTGAAAACCTCCTTCCATCAGCAAGGGCATTGAAGATGAAACGTGGCTGGGTCTTTCAGCATGACAATGATCCCAAACACACCGCCTGGGCAACGAAGGAGTGGCTTCGTAAGAAGCATTTCAAGGTCCTGGAGTGGCCTAGCCAGTCTCCAGATCTCAACCCCATAGAAAATCTTTGGAGGGAGTTGAAAATCCGTGTTGCCCAGCGACAGCCCCAAAACATCACTGCTCTAGAGGAGATCTGCATGGAGGAATGGGCCAAAATACCAGCAACAGTGTGTGAAAACCTTGTGAAGACTTACAGAAAACGTTTGACCTGTGTCATTGCCAACAAAGGGTATATAACAAAGTATTGAGAAACTTTTGTTATTGACCAAATACTTATTTTCCACCATAATTTGCAAATAAATTCATTACAAATCCTACAATGTGATTTTCTGGAATTTCTTTTCTCATTTTGTCTGTCATAGTTGACGTGTACCTATGATGAAAATTACAGGCCTCTCTCATCTTTTTAAGTGGGAGAACTTGCACAATTGGTGGCTGACTAAATACTTTTTTCCCCACTGTACTTTGTGGGTGTGTGCATGTATACACATGCATTATTGGTAATCCTATTTACAGGCAACAGTTTGAACTCACAAGTTCATAGCCTCCTAGAGTGACCATAGAGATTAGATCAGAGGGAGTTCCCAACAGCCAGTCAGTCAGTCAACCAACCAGTCATCCAGTCAGACAGTCAGGAAGACAGACAGACAGACAGACAGACAGACAGACAGACAGTCAAGTCAGGCAGTCAGTCAGTCATTCAGCCAACCACCCAGTCAGTCAGTCATTTAGCAAACTAGCCAGTTAGTCATTCAGTCAGTCATTCAGCCAACCAGCCAATCAGTCAGTCATTCAGCCAACCATCCAGTCAGCCAACCAACCAGTCAGTCATTCAGCCAACCAGTCAGCCAACCAGCCAGCCAGTCAGTCAGTCAGTCAATCAGCTAACCAGCCAGCCAGCCCCTCCTTTCCTGCACTCCATGGAATAGATACAGTGGTGTTGGCTGGACCAATCAGCTGCTTAGACAGCAGGGGTTGAGGCTGGGAGAGAGAGAGGCACAGAGAGGGAGGCTGCATACACATCTCTCACACACACAGGGTTGTTCCTTCTGAGACCAAACACACACACTCTCTCACACACAGACACACTCTGGATCTCTCTTTCACACACTCATAGAGTTTTATTATACACTTTTGATTTTGATTTTGCATGTACATTTTGAATTGGTTTTATTTTTTACATGTTTTCATACAATTAGTACAATACACACATTTGCCAATATGTGCCTTGTTCCAGTTGTCGTGCTGTTGGCTTTTCTGGGTAAGTACCACAATGGTTTTTGAAATACTTTTGCAATACTTAAGCCTGGTTGGTCTGCAGTTCTTGTCTATATGAAGTGCTGTTTCCTCGGTTACTGTAGAGGGCATGGGAAATGGTCACATAACATTTACACAATAATGGTACATTATATTTTTCAATGTAACCTCCTTGAAATCCACTTGCTTAGTTAATAATTGATTGTTAACTATAAACTATTACTATTAACTATCCCCAATCATTCAAACTAATCTAGCAAATTAATCTAGCAAACTAATCTAGCAAACTAATCTATCAAGTATCAAACTAATCTATCAAGTATCAAACTAATCTATCAAACTTGATGGCAAAAAGCACAGTGATGTTCCAATGTAGTTGTCTTCTGCATGGTTGACTTCACAGGTTCAGAACATACCTGTGATGTATATTTACATATTACTCTTATGTTACTTTTTCACCCTTAGATACGTTCACTCCACCCGTAGCAGCTATGAATGTCATTGATACTGTAGCATTTCTCAGGGCTACCCGGGTTAATTGATAGAATTACATGCGCTGAGAGACGATGGCTGCTTCCCAAATGGCACCCTATTCCCTACATAGTGCATTACTTTTGACTAAAGCCCTATGGGCCCTGGTCAAATGTAGTGCACTGTGTAGGGAATAGGGTGCCATTTGGGATGCAGATAATGTTATCACCCTATAGTTTCAGACAATGTTATCGCCCCATTGGGTAGCAAGGGTTATAGACATTTAATCCATCATTAATACATGGATTGGCTCACGCAGCTGTATTTGGCGCCAGTAGCCTATTCTCCATGGCTGATTTGAGCTCTTGTATGAAATTCGTTCATGGGGTAACGTGAGACCAGTGTTATTTGAATGAATGTGTGTCACTAGCTTAGATCAGGTGAGCAGTATACTCCTGGTAAGGGGGCATATCAGTTAATTGAGAGGTGGAGTCCAATAGTTTACATTCATAGGTGCTTTGTTTACTTCCTCCAGATATCCTAATATTGATGTTTACTGCATACATTACATTCATAACAGTCCTGAGTCATAGGCTATCATTCGGCTAGAATATGAAGGTATATTAACTGGTAGGCGTATCTGTTTTATAGACTACTGCATGCATGTTGATTACTTAATATTACTAATGCGCTGCAGCTATCTGTCATCATCTCATGTTAAATATACTAGCTATTGAAATTACATTGATGATGAAATGTACTAGTTATTGACATTCAGTGGTGTAAAGTACTTAAGTAAAAATACTTTAAAGTACTACTTAAGTAGTTGTTTTGGGTATCTGTACTTTTACTTTTACTTCACTACATTCCTAAAGAAAAGAATGTACTTTTTACTCCATGCATTTTCCCTGACACCCAAAAGTACTTGTTACATTTTGAATGCTTAGCAGGACAGGAAAATTGTCTAATTCACACACTTATCAAGAGAACATCCTTGGTCATCCCTACTGCCTCTGATCTGGCGGACTCACTAAACACACATGCTTCGTTTGTAAATGATTTCTGAGTGTTGGAGTGTGCCCCTGGCTATCTGTAAATTTAAAAAACAAGGAAATGGTGCCGTCTGGTTTGGTTAATATAAGGAATTTGAAATTATTTATACTTTTACTTTTGATACGTAAGTATATTTTAGCAATTACATTTACTTTTGATACTTAAGTATATTTAAAACCAAATACTTTTAGACTTTTACTCAAGTAGGATTTTACTGGGTGACTTGCACTTTTACTTGAGTCATTTTCTATTAAGGTACTGTATCTTTACTTTTACTCAAGTATGAACATTGGGTACTTTTTCCACCACTGTTGACATTACAGTGATGATGAAATATACTATCTATTGACATTACAGTGATGATAAAATATTCTAGCTATTGACATTACAGTGATGATGAAATGTACTAGTTATTGAAATTACAGTGATGATGAAATATACTAGCTATTGACATTACAGTGATGATGAAATATACTAGTTATTGACATTACAGTGATGATACAAATATACTAGCTATTGACATTCCAGTGATGATGAAATATACTAGCTATTGACATTACAGTGATGATGAAATATACTAGCTATTGACATTCCAGTGATGAGGAAGTTACTGTAATAGTGGGGAAAACCCTCTCTACATGCCTTGGAAACTATTTTAGTTTAACCACTGCTACTGTATAGTCGTCAATACTTAAGCTTGAAGAAATATCATAAACCACATCACTTTAAGATGATCCTTAAAGGCCTAGTGCAGTCAAAAACATGAATTTCCTGTGTTTTATATATATTTCCACACTATGGCCCCCATAGTGGTTGAAATAATACTGTGAAATTGTGAAGATTATGATAATGCCCTTTTACTGTAAGAGCTGTTTGAAAAGACCGTCAGAAATTTCAGCCTGTTTTGGTGAGATGGAGCTTTGGCTAGATCAATAAGAAAGAGAGTTCCAAACCTCTCTGCCAATTGCAGCTAGTTTTCAGTTTTCCCCTCCCCACTCAGACCACTCCAAGACAGTCCTAACAAAATTCTTGCTTGAGAAATGGTCCTTTATCAAGAAGCTATTTTGGTTTCTTTTTGGCCATTTTAATTGAGAACAATCACAGTAAGGTACTTAGTTGTTCCCCAGAAATGATACTGAGATAAAAACGGCTGCATTGGACCTTTAAGAACTTCCTGGAGAAATTTGAAAGATCACCATCAATTACTAAACTTGTCAGTTATTATGTCCATAATGGCAAAGCATGTAAACACTCCAAAACAATTCAGATGTAACATAACAGGGACTTACTTCCTTATTTCCACGTTTGTCTGTCTGTCTCTCTGTCTGTTTGGCTGTGTTTTTCAGGTTCCAGTTCCTGTACCCGGTTTCAGGCCAACCTAAACATGGGGGGAGTCATGGGATGGGTGCGGTTTGACTCCACCAATCAGACGGCGACCGTGAACATCACCGGTACCGGAACCTGTGGTTCGTCGCTCAACCTCTCCCTGAGTGTGTTCCCTGTGATGTTCGGCCATTTTGCTCAGCCTTGCCTTGAAGTCAATGTAGGAGCGAGCATCTTCTCGTTCACAATCGATCCATTCTCATCCAACACCACTGTTAATATGTCCAGTCTATTTAAGCAGAGGTCGAATCTGGATGACCTTTCGTTGACCTTGGAGACGTGCAACGGCACCAAAGCTTGTACAGTCATAAGTGGTCAAACCACAGTTCAGACGTGGCAGGCCAGGTTCTTCAGCTCGGTCGCCGGCGACATTTACATCAGGCAGAACGTCGGACAGACCCACGCCAGGGTCCTCACAAACTTGGCCACAATTGGTCAGGTCGGTGCTATGGCAACCAACGTCAACATCTTGACGTCGCAGAGTTCTGCTAGAGACTGTAAGGCTCTTCTAGATAGTCTGGAACCCTCATCTCTCACCCAGCTTGGGGAACTGAAAGTAGGCACCCCTCTCACACCCGTAAAGTCTCGTTTGGACCTCACTAGTGTCAGCTCCAACACTCGTTTCGCTCTCCTGAAACTGGGCTCTTCGAGTTATAAGTGCGCTGAGATCAGAACAATGGACAGGAAGGAGGTGAGCGCCCTGGTGAACATGAGAGGGGTCAAGGGTTACTTCCTCTTCAGGCAGGCCTCGCCGTTCGACGTTACAGAACTGAGAGTGAATCTGACCAATCTGGGGAGCCGGGTCGGACCTTATCACATCCACCACTTCCCCACACCTCCTATGAGGTCACCGCCGCAGACGACCTGCTCCAACGACAACGTTGGAGACCATTGGAACCCGTTCGGGATAGACACTAAAGATCCCACCTACCCCTCTGGACCTGGGTCGACCCACGACCGGTATGAAGTAGGGGACCTCAGCGCCAGGCATGGGTCACTAAAGGGTAAAGCTGAGATGGACGCAGATTTCACAGACTTCAACCTCCCTTTGTTCGGACAGAACAGCATAGTGGGTCGGTCTGTGGTAATCCACCAACCGGATGGAGCTAGGTTCCTGTGCGCCTACATATGCTACCCAGGAGAGGTGCACGTAGCCAGGGCTATGTTCCGACACCCTGTGGTGGGTATGGTCCAGTTCGTCCAACTCAAGAGCAACCCGTTGTCTGATGTCACAGTCTTCATGGATCTGTCCTATGGGAGACCCTCCGTGAACGCTACACGTAACCACCACTGGCACATCCACATGTATCCTATTAGCTCGGAGATGGACACGGACAAGGGGAGGTGCGGGACCACGGGGGGCCACTGGAACCCCTTCAATGTGGACACGGGCGATTCAAGCTACCCCCTCCACTGTGGCCCCTCCAGCCCCTTTTCCTGCGAGGTGGGGGACCTCTCCAAAAAGCACAGCACCCTCGACCTGGGGACCCGAGTGGGTGGAGTGGCGGCCAAACACTTCTTCACAGATACCACTTCCTGGTTGGCACATCCGGCAGGATCGGGCTCCATGATTGGTCGATCGGTGGTGATCCACAGCGCGGAGGGCGCCGCCCCCAGGATAGCCTGTGCTAACCTCACAGAGGTCCGGATGCCCGCGGCGGTCTTGGGCCCCTGGCATGGACCAGAGGCCTCCAGGGGCCAAATCCGGTTTTCCCAGGCTTTCCCTCAGGGCCCAACCATGATGGACGTCTCCCTGGCTGGACTCAGCTCCAGGGCTGGGGGCTACCATGTCCACATGCTACCTATCAGTACCACAGGTACTCTTTCATGTTCTTTATAATGGGAGCCAGATGTCCTTGAGTGTTGTGAAAGTCCTCTAGTGTTCTGAGTGTTTGTTCAGCCTTTGTTTGTATATCTGTTCATTCATTTCAAAGTTGTAACTGTTTTGTAATATGAATAGATTACTTGATAAAATCTAAATTTTTTGAAACCCAAAGTATCAATCCTTTTCCCTTATTTTGTGAAAGGCGTCTATCAAATAAAACATATTATTTGTAATATTACAGGGGAGCCCTGCTCGGACAACAACATCATGGGCCACTTCAACCCCTTCTCCTGGAATGTGTCTGCTTCTCCTGCTCCGGGGTCAGGGACTGTGGATGAATATGAGACTGGGGACATCAGCGGGAAGTTCGGGATGCTGACGAATCAGAACCAGACACAGACTCAGTATTTGGATGGAAATATGCCGATGACAGGGCCGAACAGTATAGTGGGGAGGTCGTTGGTCATTCACTACACTAACGGATCCAGGTGAGTGTGGGGATTTTGTGTGTGTGAAGAGTGAGAGAGAGGGTAGCGAGAGAGAGAGAGAGAGAGAGAGAGAGGGAGAGACAGAGGGAGAGAAAGGGAGGGAGGGAGAGACAGAGAGAGAGAAAGGGAGGGAGGGAGGGGAGAATGTGTCCTTTGTCATGGGTCTGTATAGCCACAGTTTCCTCCAGGAGTGCTATAAACAGCCAAACCAAGGCGGGAAGATTGTATCAGGTGGTGTGTGATTAATTTAAGACTGCTGTAGACTTGGTTCCTCTTTGGGTCACATGTGTGATACCTTGACATTTATGAACAGAACCTGTGTCAAAGTTTGAACGTTTTACATTACCTTACCATTCCTCTTCAGCTCAGTCAGTTCACGCAGAAAATGTCGGACTCAAATCAAACACTGTACTCATGTAAAAGGGAGGTAGCTATAGTCCCTTTTTTACATGGGGGACACAGACATTTGAGTCATTTAGCAGTCACTCTTAACCAGAGCAACGTACAGTACTGAGTGCATACACTTTTTTACTGGTCCACCGTGGGAATCGAACTCACAACCCTGGTGTTGCAAGCATCATGCTCTACATGGGACTATACAGGACAGCTCACATTATTACCTTGAACAATGCTTGTTTGGCACAAGAAGAAGCCAAACAGGTAAAGTAGGGCCATTATAGGGTAGGATGTCTGGAATACTGTAACATCATCTCTTGTTGTGGCGTTGACTTCTAAAGGGAGTATGTGGTCAGTCTTCTGAATCGGCACCATATAGGCCTACAGTGTTATACATTTTACAACAATACATTTTATAACACATCTGAATCATGTTTTGCATCCCTAATGCACTGTTTCATTTTTGAGTCGTTCACAATAATTGTTTTCTTTAATGAGTTAATATTTTGTCTATTTGTGTTTGTGAACTCCAGGATGCGGTGTGCTGACATCTCAGCTGAGAATGCAACAGATGGACACTGGGTGTTTGCCAAGGCTGTCTTCAAAAGCACAGTGACAGGGACAGTCACACTGGTAAGACCTGGATCTCTCCTTTGCTCTCTACAATGTTCAGATGACACAAAAGTACTTCATTGGTTTGAATCCAGTCTAATGCTATTTCAGCAAAAATCTCTATATTTCATACTGCCTCTTCTCTATCCAATAAAGCATTAAATACCAAAGATATACACACAAAAAAATACTTAATTATTGCCTACAGGGGAAACCTATTTAGACTAATTCAGACCATGAGGAATACAAGAACACTCATCTGCAGGGGTGGATGTTATCCCATTTATTATATGTCCCAGGAGAGTAAGCTGGTGAATCATTACAAAGCTGCCACAAAAACATGACACTGTATTTTCTGCTGCGCCAGACAGTGAATTCATTAGGGCTGTGGCAGAGTCCTGTGTGTGACAATGGGGCGTGTGTCTGGATCTGTGTGTGTATATCTGTGCGTGTTTGTGTTTGTCTATGTGTGTCTATTGCTGCGTTTACACAGGCAGCCCAATTCTGATGTTTCTTTTCACTAATTGGTCTCTTGAAAAGATCTGATGTGATTGGTCAAAAGACCAATTAGTGGAAAAAGATCAGAATTGCGCTCCCTGTGTAAACACAGCCTAAGAGTGTACCACTGGCCTGTAGAGTCATGTGCTGAGATTCCGTGTAAAATGTTCTAGTATCTAGCAGCCCCCGGCAGCCCCCAGTCTAAAGCACTCAGGAGAACAGATGTATTTGTCAGGCTCCTATACAGACCTGTGTCCTCTACAGTGTATCTCTATTACTGTTTAGGATGCTTAGATAACCAATCAAATATCCTTTCAAATATTATGGTCTATCAGATGAAGGATTTGTGTGCTCTTTACAGACAGTTTAGAACACCTGGTATGAGCGTCCCATAAAACAAGTGCTAATATAGCTTTGCTGATAGGACAGCAGTATGTTCATGTTCCCAGTGAAGTAAGATTGCATAACCTTAAAACACCTGGTTAAATTACATTGACTCAGTAACTAGTCTAACAGTAAAGTACTGTCTTCAGTCCCATTGACTCAGTAGCTAGTCTAACAGTATACTCTACTGTCTTCAGTCCCATTGACTCAGTAGCTCGTCTAACAGTATCTCTACTGTCTTCAGTCCCATTGGGGGCTCTACGTCTTCAGTTCCCATGACTCGTAGCTATCTAACAGTATACTCTACTGTCTTCAGTCCCATTGACTCAGTAGCTATCTAACAGTATACTCTACTGTCTTCAGTCCCCATTGACTCAGTAGCTAGTCTAACAGTATACTCTACTGTCTTCAGTCCAATTGACTCATAACTAGTCTAACAGTATTACTCTACGTGTCATTCCCATATGGACTCAGTAGCTGTCTACAGTATACTTCTACTGTCTTCAGCCATTGACTCAGTAGCTAGTCTAACAGTATACTCTAACTGTCTTCAGTCCCAATTGACTCAGTAGCTAGTCTAACAGTATATCTCTACTGTCTTCAGTCCCATTGACTCAGTAGCTAGTCTAACAGTATACTCTACTGTCTTCAGTCCCATTGACTCAGTAGCTAGTCTAACAGTATACTCTACTGTCTTCAGTCCCATTGACTCAGTAGCTAGTCTAACAGTATACTCTACTGTCTTCAGTCCCATTGACTCAGTAGCTAGTCTAACAGTATACTCTACTGTCTTCAGTCCCATTGACTCAGTAGCTAGTCTAACAGTATACTCTACTGTCTTCAGTCCCAGCAGACTTTTCTGGATGGCAGCTACAGTGACATCACTCTGGAGGTGGATGTGCGGTCATCACAGGTGCTAGACGTAAGCATGCATGGATCTCTTGGATCTGTTCAATCTCTTTTAATAGAAACAAAAAAAACGTATGTCACATTCTTTGTTGTTATCTAATTTATAACCTTATCACAGGTAGGTTCCATCGAAAAAGGGAGCCTGGAAAAATATCCTATTTTTGTGACAACAAATAACTTATGTCACATAGTTGCTGTTATCTAGCCCACTGTGCAATCTCGGCATCCAGAAATCAATCAAAGTCAATCAATCAAATGTATTTAAAAAGCTATTTTTACATCAGCAGTTGACATAAAGTGCTTATACAGAAACCCAGCCTAAAACTCCAAAGAGCAAGCAATGCAGATGTAGAAGCACAATGCAGATGTAGAAACAATGTAGAAACAAATCAGCTGCTCTGTAGCATTTTAATTTTAGTTCTATTAGAAAAGGGAAGCCGTATAAAAAGAATGGTAAAACATCAGAGAAATAATAATGTTTTTCCGACTGTAACCAGGTAACAGAGGTTTCCTGGATCATCACTGGTATTCGCTCTGAGGTGAACGAGAGCCAGTGTACCAGTGCTGGGGACACGTTTAACCCCTTCAACATGGAAGCTGGGGTGAGTTTATTCTCTCATTTTCACTTCCAATACATCATGGCCCTTATTCATACAGCATCTAGGATAGATCAGCACTCCTACTCTGAGATGCTTTATGAATAAGGGCCCAGTACATAGCCTCATAGGATCATTTCACCCACTGTGTAGCACTGATCTCTGTTTTATTTCAACTTTAAAGTTCCACTTGATCAACAAGTCTTATGGAATCCAACGGAACTGTATTTGATATGCCATAGAATCTTTGTCTTTGACAATGTCACAGTTGTTGGGTTTTGAGTTTGCAAGAAAGGCATTTCACTGTACTTGTGCATGTGACATTAAAACTTGAAACTACACCACAACCACAACCATACACCTCACATTGTTTTCATAACCAGAAGTGAAAGTGTTTGTTAGAATTGGTTTCCATAGAATTAGAATGACTAATGATTCTAAATCTATGTTGATTTCATAGAAATAGAATGAGTAGAACAGACGTGGAACCTCTGACCCAGCCCTATTGACTTGAAAGGGGACTTCCCTTCTAGTAATTCTATTTCTATGGTTGGTTCCATCCTCTCCTCTGTTCTGTTCTCTCTCAGAGCTCCAGTTGTTCCCGTGACAACGCTCTGAGTTGTGAGGTGGGAGACCTGACCACCAGACAGGGGACAGTCAGCCTGACACACAGACAGCTGTACACCGACACCAGCATACAACTGGCAGGGGACTACACAGGTAACAGACACAAATTGTCTGTTCAGGAATCTAGACTCCTTTAGTATGCATATAAAACATAATAGTGATGTATTGTCATTACACACTCACTGAACTGCAATCCAAAATTGTTGCGTCACATTGTTTCCCAAGAGAATCAAGTTTCATGAGAAAAATGTCAACCGTCTTCACTATTAGGGGATATGTCATGTGTGAAACAACAAAGTAATTTAGGTGATAATCTAAAAAGTATATTTCTGACTTTGGTGCTGTTGTTGATGTTGTTGTTGTAGTGGTCCACAGGTCCCTGGTCCTGAGGAGCGGCAGCAATGTCTTGGCGTGTGCCGTCATTCTTCCAGAATCCCCTTGGGCAGAGCAGACCTTCCCCAACGTCATTTCTTTCAGCAGGTGGGTGTGATTGACCCGACTGGGTATTAAACCGCCTGTGAACTCAAGACTGTGTTAGCCCATCAAGCTAAAACCTACAGGCGTTAGTGTTGGGAGCCAATATGTGTGAACCCTCTGTGGAAAGGGTTCTACCTGAAACCAAAAAGGGTTCTCCAAAGGGTTCTCCTTAGGTTCTAGATAGCACCTTTTTTTCTAAGAGTGTATTCTCGCCACCTCCAGCCAGCCACCACACGTGCCACACCTGTATAAGACGATGGAGGGTTCATTGGCAACTATGTGACACAACTCATTGATCACATCTTCATAAAGGGTTTGGCCCAGTGCCAATAGTCGAACCACAAAAACAATCCAACCATATCTCAAATACTTTAGATGATAATACACCATCACTAGTCCTGTATTATGGGATTACAGTACATCATCATCAGGTCTGATTTCATTATTACTGAAAAAGGATACAGGTGGGAAATATAAAGATCCAGTCCATTAAAAAAATTGGAGGCCCCTTACACTTCAGTGTTGTGATGCAAAAATTCTAGTAAAATGTATAGCGCATAGAATAAAAAAGGTATTGTCGGACATTATTCATTCTAATCAGACAGGCTTTTTACATGGACGATACATTGGAGATAATATAAGGCAAGTACTGGAAACAATAGAACACTATGAAAAATCTGGGAAACCAGGCCTGCTATTCATAGCAGACTTTGAAAAGGCATTTGATAAAGTATGACTGGAGTTTATATATAAATGCCTGGAACATTTCAATTTTGGAGAATCTAGGTGTAAAATAGTAAATAATGGCTATTTCTCAGAAAGTTTTAAACTGTCAAGAGGAGTAAAACAAGGTTGTCCACTATCGGCATATCTATTTATTATGGCCATCGAAATGTTAGCTATGAAAATCAGATCCAACAATAATATCAAGGGATTAGAAATCCAGGGCTTAAAAACAAAGGTGTCATTGTACCCTGATGATTAATGTTTTCTTTTAAACCCACAACTTGAATCCCTCCACAGCCTCATAGAGGATCTAGATACATTTTCTAACCTCTCTGGATTACAACCAAATTATGATAAATGTACTATATTACGTATTGGATCACTAAAAAATAACATTTTTACATTACCATGTAGTTTACCAATAAAATGGTCTGATGGTGAGGTGGATATACACTGAATACATATCCCAAATGAAATAAATGATCTCACTCCAATACATTTTAATAGAAGGTTAGCAAAAATAGATAAGATCTTGCTACCATGGAAAGGTAAATACCTGTCTATTTGTGGAAATATCACCCTGATTAACACTTTAGTATTATCCCAGTTTACCTATTTGCTTATGGTCTTGCCTACGCCTAGCGAACAGTTTTTTAAATTATATGAGACATTTTTTTTCCATTTTATTTGGATCGGCAAGCCAGACAAAATTAAACGGGCCTATTTATATAATGAATATGAATTCGGAGGACAGAAATTATTAAATATTAAAGCATTAGACCTATCACTAAAAACTTCAGTCATACAAACGTTATACTTAAATCCAAACTGGTTCTCTAGCAAATTAGTAAGATTGTCTCACCCCATGTTCAAGAATGGCCTTTTTCCCTTTATTCAGATTACAACCTCTCACTTTAAGTTATTTGAAAAGGAAATAATCTCCCAAATATCACTATTTCTAAAACAAGCCATAGAAAGTTGGTTGCAATTTCAATTTAATCATCCAGAAACGACAGAACAAATAATGCAACAAATATTGTGGTTGAACTACAATATACTAATTGATAAAAAAAATTATTGTTTGAAAAAATGTTTGAAAAAGGTATAATCTTTGTAAATTATATCATAGGTAGGACAGGTGGAGTTATGTCGCACATGCAGCTAACAAAAACATATGGAAATGTCTGCTCTACCCAAAATTACAACCAAATAATTGCAGCATTACCGCAAAATTGGAAGAGGAACGTGGAAGGGGGAAAAAGTAAGGAACTTGTCTGTCGGCCCTGCATTAAAGAACATAATTGGTTAAAGGAAATTGTGATTAACAAAAAAAGTATACCAGTTTCATTTAAGGACCAAAGGATTGACAGCCGTCCCATATAGATTGCAAAATAGTTGGGAAGAGATTTTTGACATACAGTTGAAGTCGGAAGTTTACATACACGTAAGTTGGAGTCATTAAAACTCGTTTTTCAACCACTCCACACATTTCTTGTAAACAAACTATAGTTTTGGCAAGTCGGTTAGGACATCTACCCTGTGCATGACACAAGTAACTTTTCCAACAATTGTTTACAGACAGATTATTTCACTTATAATTCACTGTATCACAATTCCAGTGGGTCAGAAGTTTACATACACTAAGGTGACTGTGCCTTTAAACAGCTTGGAAAATTCCAGAAAATGATGTCATGGCTTTAGAAGCTTCTGATAGGCTAATTGACATCATTTTAGTCAATTGGAGGTGTACCTGTGGATGTATTTCAAGGCCTACCTTCAAACTCAGTGCCTCTTTGCTTGACATCATGGGAAAATCAAAAGAAATCAGCCAAGACCTCAGGAAAAAAAATGTGTAGACCTCCACAAGTCTGGTTCATCCTTGGGAGCAATTTCCAAATGCCTGAAGGTACCACGTTTATCTGTACAAACAATAGTACGCAAGTATAAACACCATGGGACCACGCAGCCGTCATACCGCTCAGGAAGGAGACGCGTTCTGTCTCCTAGAGATTAACGTACTTTGGTGCGAAAAGTGCAAATCAATCCCAGAACAACAGCAAAGGATCTTGTGAAGATGCTGGAGGAAACAGGTACAAAAGTATCTATATCCACAGTAAAACGAGTCCTATATCGACATAACCTGAAAGGCCGCTCAGCAAGGAAGAAGCCACTGCTCCAAAACCACCATAAAAAAGCCAGACTACGGTTTCCAACTGCACATGGGGACAAAGATTGTACTTTTTGGAGAAATGTCCTCTGGTCTGATGAAACAATAATATAACTGTTTGGCCATAATGACCATCGTTATGTTTGGAGGGAAAAGGGGGATGGTTGCAAGCCGAAGAACACCATCCCAACCGTGAAGCCCGGGGGTGGCAGCATCATGCTGTGGAGGTGCTTTGCTGCAGGAGGGACTGGTGCACTTCACAAAATAGATGGCATCATGAGGAAGGAAAAATATGTGGATATATTGAAGCAACATCTCAAGACATCAGTTAGGAAGTTAAAGCTTGGTCGCAAATGGGTCTTCCAAATGGACAATGACCCCTAGCATACTTCCAAAGTTGTGGCAAAATGGCTTAAGGACAACAAAGTCAAGGTATTGGAGTGGCCATCACAAAGCCCTGACCTCAATCCTATTGAAAATGTGTGGGCAGAACTGAAAAAGCGTGTGCGAGCAAGGAGGCCTACAAACCTGACTCAGTTACACCAGCTCTGTCAGGAGGAATGGGCCAAAATTCACCCAACTTATTGTGGGAAGCATGTGGAAGTCTACCCGAAACATTTGACCCAAGTTAAACAATTTAAAGGCAATGCTACCAAATACTAATTGAGTGTATGTAAACTTCTGACCCACTGGGAATGTGATGAAAGAAATAAAAGCTACTATTATTCTGACATTTCACATTCTTAAAATAAAGTGGTGATCCTAACTGACCTAAAACAGGGAATTTTTACTAGGATTAAATGTCAAGAATTGTGAAAAACTGAGTTTATATGTATTTGGCTAAGATGTATGTAAACTTCCGACTTCAACTGTACCGATTCCATGGCATAGTGTTTATGAACTGATACGCAAAACGACGCCGGATTCAAAACGTATAATTTTTCCATTTAAATTATTATACAAAATTCTTGCTACCAATAGAATGTTATTTATATGGGGGATACAATCTTCCCAGCTCTGTAGATTTTGCAGCAAAGAGACAGAATTATTAGATCATTTGTTTTGGTACTGTCCATTTGTAGCTTTTTTTTGGACACAGGTCTAGGAATGGCTGAAGGATTTCAATATTTACCTGGAGCTAACCCTGCAGATAGCCCTACTGAGTGATCTGAAAAGTCATAGTCAATCGATCAATAATATAATAATACTTTTAGCAAAATTGTTTATTTTCAATTTACAATCTGTAGAAACAATGAGAATAGAAGGGTTCAGACCTTTTGTGAAACATCACAGTACAGTTGAAAAATATATGGCAAATAGAAATCCAATATGGATAGTGTTAAGCGATAGATGGGAGGTGTTGAATGGAGCTGAAGGATGGGACTAAAAACAACTAACAACAACTAATAACAACAAGATAACTAATGTAAAGCATACTGTGTCCATAATAAGTATATAGGTTATAGGTTGAGAGCTTTTGTGAAAGAGCACAGTTAGAAAGATATGGCATATAGAAGCAAACCGGATGGACATCATGAAAATTATCAGAGAGGTTGAGGGTAGAGGAAGTTCAGGAGTAAAAACAAACAAAATATAATTATTGTAAAATTGACTGTGTCCATAAAATGTATATAGTATGTATTAGCTGGAAGTAGAGGCCTAAGCATTGTTCACTAGTTTACTCCAATTAGGGAAGGGGTGGTGGGGTTGGAATGTATTTTTTTAAAGGATATGTATATATATATGTATGTATATGTATTTATATGTATGTATGTGTATATGTATGTGTATGTATGTATATGTATATATATATACACTACCGTTCAAAAGTTTGGTGTCACCTAGAAATGTCCTTGTTTTCGTAAGAAAACTGTTCAGAGGCGACTGAGTGAATCAGGCCTTCATAGTCGAATTGCTGCAAAGAAACCACTACTAAAGGACACCAATGAGAAGAAGAGACTTGGGCCAAGAAAGGGAAATCTGTCCTTTGGTCTGATGAGACTTTTGGTTCCAACCGCCGTGTCTTTGTGAGACGCAGAATAGGTGAACGGATGATCTCCGCATGTGTAGTTCCCACCGTGAAGCATGGAGGAGGGGGTGTGATGGTGTGGGGGTGCTTTGCTGGTGACACTGTCTGTGATTTATTTATAATTCAAGGCACACTTAACCAGCATGGCTACCATAGCATTCTGCAGCGATACGCCTTCCCATCTGGTTTAGGCTTAGTGGGACAATCATTTGTTTTTCAACAGGACAATCACCCAACACACCTCCAGGCTGTGTAAGGGCTATTTGACCAAGAAGGAGAGTGATGGAGTGCTGCATCAGATGACCTGGCCCCGACAATCCTCTGACCTCAACCTAATTGAGATGGTTTGGGATGAGTTGGACCGCAGAGTGAAGGAAAAGCGGCCAACAAGTGCTCTGCATATGTGGGAACTCCTTCAAGATTGTTGGAAAAGCATTCCAGGTGAAGCTGGTTGAGAGAATGCCAAGAGTGTGCAAAGCTGTTATCAAGGCAAAGGGTGGCTACTTTAAAGAATCTCAAAAATAAACATTTTTTGGTTACTACATGACTCCATATGTGTTATTTCATAGTGTTGATGTCTTCACTATTATTCTACAATGTCGAAAATAGTAAAAATAAAGAAAAACCCTGGAATGAGTAGGTGTGTCCAAACTTTTGACTGGTAGTGTATGTTGTCGTATTTTTTTCTGTGTAGATATGACTTCTGCAGAAGTCAAATTGTATATTTTCCCAACAAATTATAAAAACAATAATACAAACTGTGTATTGTTCATTTGTCTCTCCAGATATGACTTCCGCAGTAGGGTGGCAGAGGTCCTAGAGGTGAACATGTCCAGGGTCACCATCCTTCCAGGGTCTCCTCTGGCCTCAGTGGATGGACTATGCCAGAAAGTCAGCTTCCTTGTCTCAGGTACAGCCAATGATATAGTGCAGTATGTGTATGGGTACAGCACAGTGATGCACAATTTTCTTTTATCAAAATTTCATGCCATCAAGTTTGAAAAATGTTATGTCTCTGAATTACGGAGGCAGTGTGGCACTTAAGACAAATTCAAAACATTACATTGGTAATTCTTGTCTCTGCCCATGCCTATTATCAGCTTCCTTATCTCAGATACAGCCGATGACATACAGTAGTACATTATCGTTTGTCTATGGTTCAGCGCAATGATGCCCAATATTCCTTTATCAAAATCTGCCTGAAAAATGTGTTTTCTATGAATTTCTATATTGTTCAAATGTTATATTCTTTCCAAATAAGACAGACAATGTTCCAGCACAAACACTGATAATTGTGGCAAACTCAAAACATTACAAAATTAATTATTGTCTGTGCCCATGATAATATACCAAGTCCCCTCTCCTGACCCTAAAACTGAACATGTAAGGTGTAACAAGGAAGTGTGTGGGTTGTGCTGATGAATCAGATCAGCCTAAAACATCTGACAGTACATGTGGGGGAATTGTTTTAACAATAACAATAAAGTGTAAAGTGTAAAGTCCCAGTGCAGTCCAAACCTCTCTGCCAAAAACAGCTAATTTTCAGTTTTCCCCACCCCACTCAGACCACTCCCAGACAGTCCAAGCTAAATTCTTGCTTGAGAAATTGCTCTTTACTAAGAAGCAATTTTTGTGTATTTTTGACCATTTTAAATGAAAACAATCACAGTAAGGTACTTAATTGTTACCCAGAAATGATTTGATATTGAGATAAAAATGGCTGCATTGGACCTTTAAGCACTTGTGAGGGAGATCCCCTAGGGCTTATAGTCTACAAGCCTACAGCAACTTCAGAAAAACAATAAAGTATCTTCCTCAGTGAGTCATTGAAAGTAGTGAGAAGTTAGTCACCCGTATTCAGAAGTGGTTTCAGGACAGGTTCACTGCAGAGGTGTTGAAGCGATGACAGTAATTCAAGTAAGAATGACAGCTACTGCACATTGTTGAAGTGCTTCAGTACCACGTCACTTAGTTTAAGGTAAACATCAGTTCAAGTAAACTACTGACAGTGACAATACAGTCTAGGCCTATCACCAGTCTAAAGTTATATTGGAAAGGTGTGTGTGTGTGTGTGTGTGTGTGTGTGTGTGTGTGTGTGTGTGTGTGTCTGTGTGTGTGTGTGTGTGATTGTGTGTGTGTGTGCGTGCATTTATATTTGGCAAGCCAGTTTCTTGGAGGTCATGACACACTACATTAGTCAAAAGCATTAACCTGGAATGTAAACCTATTGTTTACATCCCAAACATTATAATTATGTTGTCTGGGTGATTGAACATCACACCACTTATATAGTTGTCTTAGTCATTCAAGTGTCACAGCAGACAGTCAGGGAGAGAGGGAATAGAGGTGCTGCAAAACGAGCTGTATGTGGCTTTGGTGGTGGGTGGAGGAATACCTATTTGAAGAATGAGGAAGTAGGCCACTCACAGACGGGCGGCAGGTAGCCTAATGGTTAAGAGCGTTTGGCCAGTAACCGAAAGGACGCGGGTTCGAATCCCCAATCTGACTAGGGGAACAATCTGTTGATGTGCCCTTGAAAAGGCACTTAACCCTAATTGCTCGTGTAAGTCGCTCTGGATAAGAGCGTCTGCTAAATGTAGAAAACGTATGTAAATGTAGTATAATGGAGACAAACAACTCCTCCTATCGCTACAGAGCAATTTACCAGGGTTTTTGTGTGTCATATTCAATGAACTGTCAAATCGTGGGAGTCTGTGTAGATGCTATGCTAGGTGTTGATTCTTCCCTCCATAAAGCTTTGTTGTTTTCTCAGCCCTTGCGCCCCACTCTGAGAGCTACTCAGAGATATCTGCGTTCCAAAGGCACCCTATTCCCTACATAGTGCACTACTTTTAACAGAACCCAATGGGCCCTGGTCAAAAGTAGTGCACTAAGTAGCTAACTGCTCAGGCCTCTGTGTCTGTCCAGACAATGAAGAATTCTGCCCATTCAAAAGCCTTAGAAAACCTGGAAAAACTGCTGGGTAACCTGATGCTGGAGTTGAGTGTCTGGCTATTCTCTATAGTGTACTACTTTTGACCAAAGCCCTATGTACCCTGCTCAAAAGTAGTGCACTAAGTAGGGAATAGGGTGGCCTTTGGGATGCAGCATGTGTCCCCTCCAAGTTGTCTGTCCCAGTAGGACAGAGGAGAGCAGTGTATGGAGAAGTGGTGCCACAGTGTAGCACAGACAGGATGGCCTTTATGACATTAGAAGAATACATCAGTGGAACGTTCTCAGTCTAGGACTGCCTGATGAAGACATATAGACTTGTGAATGCTAAACTATGTTTGTGAAAAAAGTGTATTTGTCTCGTTTAAAAACATGTATTTTCCTTGATCTGTGTACTCAGACTAGGCTGTAGATTTATTTATTGAACCTTTATTTTATCAGGGAGTCATACTGAGACCATAAATTACAGAAAATACACACATCAAAATATAAATAAAAAAAGCAAGCAGAAAGAAAAACACTGTCATAAAAAACTAACACATTCATCAGTAATAAGGTCCTCAATCAGCTTTCTGAATTGCCCTATAGGCACCAGAACATCAAATGTAAGAACAGTTTGAAGATTGTTCTACAAATAAGGTGCAAGAAAACAAAAGCTGATTTACCTAACTCAGTAGAGACCAAAGGAATTTCCAGTGTTAACCATCCCTGAGACCGGGTGTGGTAACTCGTATGTCTAAAGTTTAGTAATGATGTTAGGTACAGTGGGACTTTTTGTAAAAGGGCTTTATAAATGAAAACATAGCAATGCATTAACCTACATGACATCAAAGAGGGCCAACCAACTTTCTGGTAGAGAATGCATGATATACCATCCAAGCTTTTACAGACTCCAAAACAATCTTTACAAAATATTCTCAGTTTAGGGAAGCCTGATGAAGACATTACAGGGGGGAATAAAGTGGTAATAACATTGTAAAAATACCATGGTAACAAGTTACTCACAATGCTCCATAATATTCTGACTTTTAATAACCAATACCCTGTTGACTTACAGGGGAGGTGAGTATGGACAAGATTAACTCTATCAAAGACAGTAAGAAGATGGGCATGTTTAAGCAGACAGAAGGTTGCTCAAGTAAGTACACCACTGACACACACACACGCACCCACACACACACACACACAATACAGTAGGTGTGATAGTGTATGACTGAACAGAAACATACAAATAAACCTTACTGTGTAGACGTATTAATGTAAAACAATCTTTCATCTCAATTTTCATTCAAACAGGAAGTTCTGGACAACTGCTGGAGGCTGGGAGATATCTGATGATGTTGATGACAGCTGCAGCCTACATCCTATACTCTCTGATCCAGCAGTAGTTTATACTTTAGATCTAGACTTGCATCCCAAATGGCACCCTATTCCCCATATAGTGCACTACTTCTGACCAGAGACCTGGGCTTTGGTCAAAAGTAGTGCACTATATAGGGAATAGGGTGCCATTTGGGCATACCCCTTTAGCTCACATTGAATCAACACTGGAACTGTCAAATATTTCTATTTTCTAAACTGCAATTAAGTCTATCTTTTGATTATCTTTTTGTCATTGATCTGAATGGTGTGGGTTTGAATTTGCTCTTGAAGCAAGCATTTTTTTGTTTATTCGTTTTTTATCCTTGTAAATATTCCAAGTTTGGGAAAATATGACTGAGTATACTGTTTCAGGCCAATATCCAGAACATCAAAGCAAACATAATAGAGCAACAATTGTTCATTGTCCTTCCCTGTCCAATTACTGTATCAAAAATGCAATTTGAAGGAAAGAGATGCTGTAAATGTTTGTAAATGTGTCCCATTGTATATATGCATTTTTTCTCATGCATGAATGTATTACACTGCCACTTTCCCATTTAAGGTGAATTTCCAAGTCTTACATATAAACTCAGCAAAAAAATAAACGTCCCTTTTTCAGGACCCTGTCTTTCAAAGATAATTCGTAAAAATCCAAATAACTTCACAGATCTTCATTGTAAAGGGATTAAACACTGTTTCCCATGCTTGTTCAATGAACCATAAACAATTAATGAACATGCACCTGTGGAACGGTCGTTAAGACACTAACAGCTTACAGACGGTAGGCAATTAAGGTCACAGTTATGAAAACTTAGGACACTAAAGAGGCCTTTCTACTGACTCAAAAGAAAGATGCCCAGGGTCCCTGCTCATCTTTTTTAAAAATATTTTTTTATTTCACCTTTATTTAACCAGGTAAGCCAGTTGAGAACAAGTTCTCATTTACAACTGCGACCTGGCCAAGATAAGGCAAAGCAGTGCGATAAAAACAACAATACAGAGTTACATATGGGGTAAAATAAAACAAAGTAAAAAATACAACAGAAAAAATATATATACAGTGTGTGCAAATGTAGCAAGTTATGGAGGTAAGGCAATAAATAGGCTATAGTGCAAAATAATTACAATTAGTATTAACACTGGAATGATAGATGTGCAAGAGATGATGTGCAAATAGAGATACTGGGGTACAAATGAGCTAAATAAATAACAATGTAGGGATGAGGTAGTTGGGCGGGCTAATTTCAGATGGGCTGTGTACAGGTGCAGTGATCGGTAAGGTGCTCTGACAACTGATGCTTAAAGTTAGTGAGGGAGATAAGTGTCTCCAGCTTCAGAGATTTTTGCAATTTGTTCCAATCATTGGCAGCAGAGAACTGGAAGGAATGGCGGCCAAAGGAGGTGTTGGCTTTGGGGATGACCAGTGAGATATACCTGCTGGAGCGCATACTACAGGTGGGTGTTGCTATGGTGACCAATGAGCTAAGATAAGGCGGGGATTTGCCTAACAGTGATTTATAGATGACCTGGAGCCAGTGGGTTTGACGACGAACATGTAATGAGGGCCAGCCAACAAGAGCGTACAGGTCACAGTGGTGGGTAGTATATGGGGCTTTGGAGACAAAAACGGATGGCACTGTGATAGACTACATCCAATTTGCTGAGTAGAGTGTTGGAGGCTATTTTGTAAATGACATCGCCGAAGTCAAGGATTGGTAGGATAGTCAGTTTTACGAGGGCATGTTTGGCAGCATGAGTGAAGGAGGCTTTGTTGCGAAATAGGAAACCGATTCTAGATTTAACTTTGGATTGGAGATTCTTTTTTAACTTTTTTAATTTCACCTTTATTTAACCAGGTAAGCCAGTTGAGAACAGGTTCTCATTTACAACTGCGACCTGGCCAAGATAAAGCAAAGCAGTGCAATAAAAACAACACAGAGTTACATATGGGGTAAAAAAAACATAAAGTCAAAAATACAACAGAAAATATATATACAGTGTGTGCAAATGTAGCAAGTTATGGAGGTAAGGCAATAAATAGGCTATAGTGCAAAAATAATTACAATAGTATTAACACTGGAATGCTAGATGTGCAAGAAATTATGTGCAAATAGAGATACTGGGGTGCAAAAGAGCAAAATAAATAACAATATAGGGATGAGGTAGTTGGGTGGGCTAATTTCAGATGGGCTGTGTACAGGTGCAGTGATCGGTAAGGTTCTCTGACAACTGATGCTTAAAGTTAGTGAGGGAGATAAGAGTCTCCAGCTTCAGAGATTTTTGCAATTCGTTCCAGTCATTGGCAGCAGAGAACTGGAAGGAATGGCGGCCAAAGGAGGTGTTGGCTTTGGGAATGACCAGTGAGATATACCTGCTGGAGCGCAGACTACGGGTGGGTACTGCTATGGTGACCAATGAGCTAAGATAAGGCGGGGATTTGCCTAGCAGTGTGTCGTATATGATGAATGGTGGTCATCATTGCTGTCAACAAAAGAGTCCATCTATGCTGCATCGTGTCAGAAGTTTTTATTCATACCACGAGGTTACAGCATAAATTACAGACACGCGTTGTCTGGAGAGCAGTTGCCTCGAATTATAATAACCGCTCTGGGGTTTATTGTCCAAAACCCTTCTTATATAGACACTGCCAAAATAAGGGTTACCCCCTCTTCTGGCCAATCACCAGTCTCCCCTCGGGCGTCATCCTCAAAAAGGCACATTTCAAATACCATCATAAACCATCCCCCCCTCGGTTCCTTTAAACAAAGCACACGTTCAGTTCCACTTAAAACAGTCATAATTTCCATACACTACATTTCCCCCCTTCGAGACTAAACTAAGTCTCGAAAACAAACAGAATATAATTATGACCAGTAACAATTTATCTTATTGAATATCCTCAACCTTAAACCCAAAAACATTCTCCTCTAGAGTGTAAATACCTTTCTTATGAAATATGAATAACTGTTGATGAAATATTAACACATTACTATGAATTATGAACAAACTGTTCATGAAGTGTGAACACATTACTATGAATTATGAATAAATCTTTATGGAGTGTGAGAGCGAAAAACCTGTCCGGCAACCTTTGTTCCAAATCCATCCATCCATCAATCAAGACAGTAAAATTCTCTCACGGTCCCTCTGCCCCAGGCAACCACCGCGGTACTCCAGATAAACTCATAAACCATGTAAATACATTTGAAACTATGATGCCATTAAATACACATGTTTCCCCTGCAAACAAAATCCTATCCAGAAACATCCACTCTCAGGCTGGTCAACCCATAGGACCTGAAAGGGAATCTCTCCCTGCCTAAACGTCCTTTCCCTAAACCCCATCGAAATAAACAAAAGCATCTAAGATCCTCATCTGCATTCAATAACATCAAACATCATTCTACTAAAATCAATACCTAAGAATATGACACAATTATGTATTACACATCAAATATGTCTATATTTCATTGCAGACACTGGAATGTAGTCCACTACACTTCATCTCCTCCGTAGTCTCGACTTCCAATGGACTTGTTAATGATGGAATCAGCCACACCCTCCTTGTTTCATCTCCTCCAGTCATATTGTCCCTTCATATTGTCTTTGTTTGAGTATTCCAATCTCCACATGTTCTCCCAAATGCTTCTGGAATGAAAAGAAAAGAAACGACCAAACAGTATCCTTTGCAAAACAACCACTTTCAAATTAAACCTCAATTTCACCTAAGAATTTAAAAAATGATACATAAATGATGCATGAATCACATTAACCTATCCCCCCCTTGATTCATAAATCATACCAACATCACCCTACTATTGAAAAAAATTTTTTTGAAAAATAATCAACTCATAAAAAAAATGATATTTATCCATCAGTAGTCCATCTAGACCCCCTCGTCCGTCTTCGTCCAGATCCGGAACAATCAACAACGGCATCTGAGTGTTGTCTCCAGGAATCACTCTCCAACCTATCTCAATATCATAACTTCTCAAATTCAGTAATAAAATCCCCCAGAACAACAGAAAAGGGATCGTGAAGATGTGGGGGAAAAACATTTAAAAAAAGTATCTATATCCACAGTAAACGGGCCCTTTATATAAATAACCTAAAAGGGCCCCGTCAGCAAGGAAAAAGCCACTGTTTCCAAAAACCACCCATGAAAACCCAAGACAAAAGGGTTTTTCCAACTGCACAGGGGACAAAGATTGTATTTTTTGGGAAATGTCCTCTGGTCTTATAAAACCAATAATAAAACTTTTTGGGGGCCATAATGACATCGTTATTTTTGGAGGGAAAAAGGGGGGAGGGTTTTGAAAAGCCGAAAACACCACCCCAAACCCCGTGAACCCCCGGGGGTGCAGCATCATGCGGGTGGAGGGGTTTTGGGCCCAGGAGGGATGGTGAAACTTCAAAAAAAAATAGAGGGCCATCATGGGGAAAGGGAAAAAATATTTTGGATAATTGAAGAAACATCTAAAGAAATCAGTTAGGAATTTAAAGCTTTTTGGGGAAAAATGGGTTTTCCCAAAAGGGACAAGACCCCTAGAAATTTTCCCAAAATTTGGGGTGGCAAAATGGCTTAAGGAAAAAAAAAGCAAGGTTTTTTGGAGGGGGCCATCACAAAGCCCTGACCTCAATCCTATTGAAAATGTGGGGGCAAAACAAAAAAAGCGTGTGCGGGGAAAGGAGGCCTAAAAACCTGACTCAGTTAAAACCAAAAAGCCTGCCCAAAGGAGGAAGGGGCCCAAAATTCCCCCAAAATTAAATTGGGGGAAAAAGCATGTAGAAGTTACCCGAAAATTTGACCCAATTTTAAAAAAAATTTTAAAAGGCAATGCTCCCAAATACTAATTGAGTGTATGAAAATTTCTGCCCCCCGGGGAAGGGGATGAAAGAAAAAAAAAGCTACTATTTTTTGGCTTTCACATTTTTAAAATAAAGTGGGGGTCCTACGGGACCTAAAACGGGGAAATTTTTTAAACTGGTTTAAAATGTCAAAAATTGTGAAAAATGGGGTTTATATGAAATTTGGCAAAGTTTTATTAAATTTTC